CGGACTTGATGCACGGGGTTGACCAACTCAAAGATATTCACTGGGCCGTGATGGCGACCACGCTCTAGCTCACCCACTTTCCTCTCCAAGATGTCCACCCTCAGTAGCAGCTGCTGAACTTGCAGCCAAGGAGGCCCAAACGAAAGGCCAGGATGAAGGCTAGAGCAAAGCCAAGGAAAAGGCCAACGCCGAGAGCAAGGACCAAGGAGGAGAGAGTGGGGCTTCCACACTGTAGTGGACAGGCGAGCCCCACCAGTTGGTCTCGATCCCTGACCTCAAAAAGTCAAGCGCGGCCCCCACACAGAAGGCTGCAGGCATGAGAGCTTGAGAGCGGCGAAAGACACTTGCTCATGCTCCTCAAGTGCCAATTGCATTTGCTGATTGTATGTTGCATGTGCAGAGTGCAGAGTCTTTCTGGAACGTCTCAAATTGATCAATACAATCTACGGAAGAAACCTTCAAAAAATTAGGAATCCTAGCTCTTGCGGTGACCTTACACCTTAGGCTCACGATCACTGCAGCTGCATATGATCGAATCTTTAACACTACATTGTCATAACATATGCTCAAATGGTTTAAGTTGTTTCTGGTGTACCTAAAAGACTTGAACTCTCAAAGTTGAGCCGAAGTGATTCTGCAGCTTAGGCATGCAAGCACTCCATGTGTTCGAATGAATCAAACAGGGGAAGCTATTCATTGGGTTTGCCTGCTTTGCCTTTCTTTGACATGACTCTGGTTGAGCTTCTGGCATGTCAGTCATTTGCCAGACCAAATTCCGCAGCCCCTGAAAACTCTCTTGAAACGTGTTTCAATAGAAGAACACCTGACAGTAAATACCCCTGAATTCTTTAAAAAGGTAGACTGTGACCGCGTGTGTATTCTTCGCCTTTCCGATTATGCACTAGCATGTAAGCTACATCTAATAGATACAAGTATTTTGAGGTGCTAGTGAAAACGGTACAGTATGTGTATATATATATATATGTGTGTGTGTGTGTACTGTAAACAAATATATATATATATATACATGCCGTGTGGGTCCAATCCGCGACACAACACTCCAGTGAGGGCCATATGGCATCAGATCCTGCAAAACGACGGAGAAGGGCAGGAAGCAGGGAAAGATAAGTCCTCCGCCGGTAAGTGAGAGAGGTGGCGGCTTATTGGCAATTCCTTCAACATTGATGGTTCCAATTCGTTTCCTGCATCGTTCGATCTCTATCCCTTGTTGCACTGTCTGAAGGCTGACCTGAGGCCTTGGCCGGAGAAATATCCGCTTTTGGGCTCACGGGAGGAGAGAGACAGTTCCACAAGTGCTCTGCGATGCTCTGTATCAGAATAGTTCTGAATACTGCTCACAGTCACGTGGGTTGTTTCTGTGTGCTTGTGCTTGAAGCTGGACCTTTAGATTTCTGCTGTTGCTTTTGACGCTCAACTGTTCTTTTCAAAAAAAAGTGAACACCTGAAGCCTGTACTTCCAGCATTTCGAGCGCTATCAAGGCAATTTGTTGCAACTTGCTTTGAGGAAACAGAAACCCGTCTTAACCCTTCTTGCGAGACCGAGAAAGTCACCAGTCACAGGGTGCTGTCCCTCAGAGTTGTGGTTGAGCGCAACGGGCTGGCTTGTCGAATCCAATTGGTCCAACAGGCTCTGTTTGCACAAGTGAGTTCCCTCACGCCTAGTCGCAGGAGAAGAGGCAGGCTTCGATTTTGGACTCACAAGGCACACATCAGTAATGCCCTTGTTACTAGTAAGTAGCGCGAAAGACATGGTATATAACAAGCTTTATTGTTACTAGTAGCGATGGCCTCCAACCCAATAGCGATGGCCTCCACCTAGTAGCTTCTTGTTACTGGTAGCGATGGCCTCCAACCTACTTGCGATGGCCTCCACCTAATAGCGTCCTTGCTACTACGAAAGATGCTTGCAAATGAGAAACGATGTGTCTGCTTTTGGCAGGTTATCTCTCAAGGGCGGTGTCACTCTCCCTCTCAGGCCTAGCTGCTCGAGTCCGCTCCTCCTGGCAGAGGAGAGCAAGTACCGCTTCACCCTCCACCGCACTGGCCCTACGATGTGTCAGCCCTCAGAAAACTGTCCTCAGCAAAGTTCTTCACTAAGCTACGGACATCAGCCTTCCACTGGAAACCTCGCAGGACTCTTCCACAAGTTCGCAATACTATGGTTCACTGACATCTGTCTTCGATCTGCAACAATTGAGACTAGCCCACACATGGTACCGGCTTGATGCCAGCTCGACACAAAGCATGATCTTTGATAGTTTGAATAGCAAAATGACCCTCAGAACTGCTAGAGCAGCTGTTGCCAAGCGACTTCTCCTTTGATCCACCTCATCATCATCATCCTCTTCGTCAGAGTCTTGGGACTTGTAGGCCCTGACAAGTACTACTTGAAACGTGTTCAAGATTGGGATTGCTCACCCGTTTCGCTTTCTTGCGCCTTGCAGCGGCGACATGAGCTCTAGGGTCACTGCTGCGAGAACGGGGCAACGATCCGGCCTAGCGAATGCGGTGACTTGTCACATCATACATGCACTAGAAACGTTGGAATGTTCCTTTGGCTGAATCCTTCTGAAGCCTGGTCTGATCTCCAAAATCTGGTTAGAAACCCCTCTAAACGGATCTGATTCACAGGCAAAGCATCCGGCCGGCGCCATGGCGGCCACAGCATCAGTCCTAGTTTCACACAGCTGCGGCTTTACTGCGAGACCCACAGCTTGATAACAAACCACCTAAGTGCGTATGTGCCAAAAAGGACTCTGGAGAGGCAGTGCTCCAGGGAGCTCACATTGTCTCAGGGGTCCTGGTGTCGCTGCTTCGGGCCCGTGGGTGGGCGCTGTGCCTCAGCCAGAATCTGTGATGGGTGACTTACAGTAAGTACCAAACAACGTGCTCGGCTTCGCACGGCCCTGGGTCAGGCATCTGCTTCACAAGGCCAGCTGCTCCCTGGAAAAGGGAAGAGGAATCAGAATCATTTTTTTGGAAAAGGACAGGACCTCACCTCAAGAAACTTTACAGTATATATAGTTTAAGTCAATAAGACTCGGAAAGTTGTGGTTTTCTTCACCAAAGGCAGGTTGACCCATCTCCACCTCCTCTAGGCCCAAATCACGTTTCACTTGGGCAACATAATCTGCCGCTGAGTCCTGCAACTGTCGCACGCGACTCACACCACTAGATGCCGAGAATGTAGGCTCCTCTGCAGCGGCTGTACTTCTGTTTTTCCTCAGGGCCCAACCAAAAACCAAGAAATTGCGCAATTGACATACAACCCTGACACGTAAAGCATAAAACAGCGCACCTCTCTTGCACATATGCTCTGCTTCATATCGGTTTTTATGCAACTGGCAATTGAACCGTTTGGATGCATTTTCTGACTAATTCGTGCTTCAACTAACTGTACACTGATTGCGCGCTTCGTGTGGGTTGTGACTGGCCCCTGGTCAGCAACACTTTTCATTACTGGGCCGCAACTTTTGCCAGCAGGAAAGCAAGAAAGTCCAACAGGAAGTTGGGTTGAACATGGTTGAACCATTCCCCTGACCTTTTTCGGAAGATCTGACAAGTCCGGCAGGTCTGCCACCATAACCCCGTGGCTATCCAACGCCACGGCTGCGAAGTTGCTCTCACTGATCCCCATCTCGCGACCGTGCCATGTCTGTAGGCTAATCCCAAGTTGCCCCAGTCGATGGCCTTCCTGCATGTTTAGGTAGACGGAGTGGTTTGCCCCGGCAACAACATGCACAGGGCTAGAAAAGCGTCTGCTGTCCAGTCTCTCCCGCTGTTCGTCTTTCGGGAGCAAACATCAATGTGGCATCCAAAAAAAGGGATCAGCTGCGAAAAATACCCTCAGATGCTGATTGGGGGAAGGGCACTTCAAACCGGACAAACGCAAGAAAAGAACGAACGACAAACACTAACAAACCTCAAACATGGAGCCCGCCATGCCGTCTAAGCCGAAAGTGTAACGCGAGCGTCGAGTCACGAGGCCGAAAACGCAATCACACGAACGAAACTGTCCCAGCACCCCCCGGTCGTCGGGAAGGTTTGCTTTCGGGGTAAAATGGAGCTCCCTGCGGGGGCTGGGCGATCTGCTCGACATTCTTCGGAAGGGCACCATTATCTTTCCACTTTGGGCGGAGAGCGGCAGGCGGCAGACCCTGCTCCGTGTTGCCAACAGCACAGCAGGATCAGCGGGCGGTGATCAGGTCTGCTGGCACACGCTCTCTCGGGAGGCCAGGGCGTTGCCGACTGCACAGGTGTTGCCCACACGGGAGAGGTCTGCTTGGGCTTGTGAGTGTGCTGATTAATGCGAAAAGAACTGGAGTTTAAGTAGGAATTTGTTGACTGGGTTGGATCCAGTTTGACGTTTGGTGTCCATGTTCTTCGGCCGACAATGCTTTCTGGCTTGAGCATGACCTGTATGCTGGATGAATGTTGAGTCATGTGCCATGTTACCACTTTTTGCGCGGAGACCACTCTCGGCTCCAGGCTCCAGATTGACAACCTCGGTCTTGTGGCTTTGTCGCAAGCGCTTTGCCGAGAGTGCCCTGTTCACAAATACGCTAGGCCATGGCATCCTACTTGAGCTCTGACCCCTTGCAGGATGTAAAGGTGATACAATATTGTCTGAGGGCCCCTTCTTGTTCTTCATGCTCTGCGTCTTCATCCGACCTTGGCCATTTAACGACAGGGACAGGCAGGTGCAATGAAGGCAAGTTCGGCTTCAGTCATCTGCCTGACAAGTTGATGAAGCCTCCGCTCAAAACAAACATTGCGGTGATTGCATCCAGAATTTGCCACCATGATTATAGATCGTCAGATGATATACATATCCGTAAGTAAAATGTTGGCTGGGGCCTTTTCTTCCCTTGCTCGAGCACCATACATCTCACCGCACCCAAGCTAACAAAAATCCAAAGGCCTCAGTACTTGCACAGCTCATGTCCACAATTTGAGCCTCATGTTCTCGTGCTCTGGACTTAGGCCTCCTCCGCTGGAACACGCCACTTGGCCAGAAAGTTGTCTTTGTCATTGTCCTTCCAAAGTGAGCGGGTCCAACCCTTCCTTTGAAGAAAAGAAACTCTATATCTATATATACATGGCCACAAGCAACCAAAGACGCAGTGTGCTGCTTGAAACTCGAATTCGGTCCTTGATACGGCACCAAGTGCAGTGAAGGAAGAAGGCAATGGCGGGGTAAAGCATGATGTAACGATTGAAGTCCTCGTGGGACTTGTCCAGCATGCCACCGTAATAGCTTGTGTCAATGTAGTACCTCCAGCGGTTCTTGGTTGGATCAATGTGCATTTCAGGCATGCCAATCAAGCACATCTTCTGGTAGTCCCAATTGAAGTACAGCCAACGGATCCAGTGGCGCCCGGGGAATCTGCGTAACCACACAATGCTGGAGCGCAACCACAAATACACTGGGCCACCTTTGTAGGGTGACATCACGGTCTCCTCACAGCGGCCATAGACAGCCGGATACGTGGGTGTCACCCCGCTCGGCTCTACAGTCTTGGGCACCTGCGCCGCGAAGCGGCACAGGGTAGGCCGAGTCAGGCGGAGGCTCCGCAACAAAGTCATGGCGGTTGCTGGTCAAAGGCGTGTTGAGCCAACCGCTGAGACCGCTGCAGGGACAAAGTCACATGCCCACGCAGGGACATGCACTTGCCATCCAACATCCCACTGAACACTGAATCACATACCTACCAAAGTGAACGACCATTCTTGCTGGCTATCTGGCTAGGCTTTTGGCCCAGGAGGCATTATGAAGCTTTCTTCGTCCATCTCCGGGGTCTCCTCTCCCTGGCAGCTTTTTTCAAGCAAGTTGCAGCTCCTAAAACTGAGCTCAGCCAGCACGGGAAACGTGTGACAACCCCAAGACACACAATTGTAGGCTGTCTATCCATCTATCTGAACATCTCATCCCCGATTTGGAAGACGTGCCTCAACTGAAGCGTCACCCTGGCGAGATGAGTGACCAAGTGAATCAAGCAAGCTGAAGCTTTCCAGGCTGAGCTGCCCTCGCCTGGTCAGTGAGCTTCTTGACCAGGTCAAAAGCCGAGGGTCCGCAGCGCGGCTTCACTGCAGGTTGCGCCTCAATTTACTAGGATGGTTCCGTCTCCGGTCGAGGCCTTTGTCTGCTACTGCTCCTGCACTTGGAAAAGGGCGTTCTGTAGCTGTCACCAGGGAAACTGCCACATGGACCCAGCCGCTCAACTGAAACATGTGGGTTGCAGTGCCGGCACTGTGGTGAGGCTTTTGATCGAGTGGCTCAAAAAAGAACATGGCCTGATCAAAGCTCACCATGCCAAATTTTCGTTGTGTTACGATTGTTGTTGGAGTAGGGTGAGTAGAGTAGAGTGCACAGCCTGGATTTGAATCGCCTTCCGCCCAGTCCCTGCAAACATGCACAAGTTCTTGGTACGCTGCAGAGGGGCTAGTTGGCTTCACCCTTGCTTGATGCAAACCTTGGACCAAACGCAGTTCGCACTGAGGTTCTCACAACTATGATAGAGGATGGTAGAGGCATTTTTGGGAGACAGAAGCACGGAGGGAGAAGAAAGAAGCAAGCACGTAGCACGAGTTCCACCAAGGTGACACGACTTTGGTCGGTCGGATGTAAGGAAACTAAATGGAACTGTGAGCTCCTTTGAGCTACCTTGGGCCTTTTGATATTCGCACAGCACGGCTGCCACAGATTCTTGGACCTCAACTTCTTGGTACCCGACCTGCATAGCCGGCGGCTCTACCATGACCTCCTCCGCTCTTGCTCTTTGGCCTGCGCCATCAAGCCCCATCGCTGCATTTTCGCAGAGTGCTGCATCCTTTGACTGGTATGGCGTATGACCGTATGACCTTTCTTGGGTGACAAGCCCTTCCACCATCTTCTCAACCAGCTCCCGCATACCCTTGCCTTGCCACCTGTCTCACAATAGTGGCACGAATCCCAAATGTCCTTCTTTTACTATTATGGCTTCCGTGTCCGGGCCCACAAGAGACCAGAAGCTGGCATCAAGCATTGTCCCAGTTCACGTTGCGGCGACTGAGTTTTCCGGCTGAACTGCAGGCCGTACAACAGGTTTCTGGCTTTGGCGGCCAGGAGTGCTCATCACCTGTCCGGTGCAACAGGTTTCTTCGGCTCAATTGTTGAAGGTGCCACCCTCATTTGGCAGAGCACCTCACCAGGAGGCATGGTTCCGCCTGGCATCTCTGAAGGTATGTTTATCATTTATTGGCGGCTCAGTGGGGTGGAAAACAAACATATATATATATAACTACCACTTCGCCTCCCTACACCTACACACAGCACAGGTGTTCCTGCATTTCACTCAGGTCGGGACATCAACATCCAATGCCGAGAAGGAATTACAAAATGAACGAAAACAAGGAAGGAAGAGAACTAGACGACGGATGGCCCAGGGGCGTGGAAGGAAAGGTCACGTAGAAGCGAGGAACGTTTTATAGCTGCAATTGCATGTGTGCGACAAGGTGCTACACGTACACGTGCACACGCACGTTTCTAGAGTTGCTGCTATGGATGTCGCACGCTGAGATTCGTGGACGCCGCCAATCACCCTTCGCCGCTCCCCAGCGACACGCCGAATTTACACCAGCATGTTTTCCTGCCCCCAAAAGCCGGAACTCACGCAAACGCACTTCACCATGGCCGCACAAAACCGCATGGCACATCACAAACGGAATTTGGCAACATATTTTGTTTTAACCCATTCAACTCGTGACGTGCGTCACAAACCATACAGGTTAAGCCGTGGCCCCCCATTCAGGACACGTCACGTTTTTCCCATTCATCTACGACTGTAATATACACACTTTAGCAACCTCCACCTTCGTTTTCGACGACAGCTACACAGCTTGGCAACCTCCTCCTTCGTTTTCGGCGATGCCACACGCTTGGGCAACCTCCACCTCCGTCTTTGACAGCAGTAACACACTTTGGCAACCCCCCACCCCCGTTTTCAACGACAGATACACAATTTTCCAACGTCCAGCTTGCGGCACCATGTGCGACAACAGTTCTACACTTTGGCATCTGCCACCTGCCACCGCCACTTTCAACGAGCACACACTTCGGCAACCAATTTTGCATTTCACCACACGTTTGAGCGCTCGACACGCACGATCTCCGCAGAAGGTTCATCCGCCCCACCCAGAACTTGCACTTCGCCACACGATCTCCGCAAAGGGGTGCCTCCGGCCAAGCTGAATTTGCATTTCACGACACATTTAAGCACTCGACACGCGCGATCTCCGCAGAGGGTCACGTTTCGCAAGCTCTGTCCGGCCAGGCCCCCGGCTAAGAAAGACGGGATAAGTAGCCGAGACATATCACGCAAGCGCGAACAAACACATGCTTTACTCTATGTTGTAACATATGTTGACTTTTGCATTTGTGTTTACCAGACCCCAGCCACAAAAAAAAACAAGATGGAGCCCACGAAAACGAATGCAAACACGTTCGAAAAGCTACATATGCCCAAATGACACTCTTGTAGGACACTCTTAAGGGACACTCTTGTAGGGCACTCTTGTGGGACACTCTTGTGGGACACTCTTGTACAGGAAACTCTTGTGGGTCACTCTTGTAGGACACTCTTTGTGGAACACTCTTGTAGGACACTCTTGTGGGACACTCTTGTAGGACACTGACTCTTGTGGGTATCACCCTTGTAGGAAGCTCTTGCGTGACACTCTTGTAGGAAACTCTTGTGGGACACTCTTGTAGGACACTCCTGTGGGACATCCTTAACACTCTTGTGGTGTGGGACACTCTAATAGGACACTCTGGTTGGTCACTCTATCTGGGGCACTCTTGTAGGACACTCTTGTGGGACACTCTAATAGGACACTCTTGTGGGCCACTCTGATGGGACACTCTCTTGTGAGACACTCTTGTAGGACACTCTTGTGGGTCACTCTTATGGGACACTCTTGTCGGACATTCTTGTGGGACACTCTTGTGAGACACTCTTGTAGGACACTCTTGTGGGTCACTCTTACAGGACACTCTTGTGGGACACTCTTGTGGGACACTCTTGTAGGACACTCTCGTAGGGCACTCTCGTGGGACACTCTTGTGGGACACTCTTGTGTGACACTCTTGTAGGAAACTCTTGTGGGGCACTCTTGTAGGACACTCTTGTGGGCCATACTTATAGGACACTCTTGTGGGACACTCTTGTGGGACACTCTTGTAGGACACTCTCGTGGGTCACTCTTGTAGGAAACTCTTGTGGAACACTCTTACAGGACACTCTTGTGGAACACTCTTACAGGACACTCTTCTAGGACACTCTTTCGGGACACTCTTGTAAGACACTCTTGTGGGACACTCTTACAGGACACTCTTGTGGGTCACTCGTATGGGACACTCTTTTCGCGGACACTCTTGTGGGACACTCTTGTGGGACACTCTTGTAGGACACTCTTGTAGGACACTCATACGGGACACTCTTGTGGGGCACTCTATCTGGGAGACTCTTGTGGGACACTCTTGTGGGTCACTCTTGTAGGAAGCTCTTGCGGGACACTCTCGTGGGACACTCTTGTGGGACACTCTTATGGGACACTCTTGTGGGACACTCTTGTGGGACACTCTTATGGGACACTCTTGTGGGACACTCTTGTAGGACACTCTTGTGGGATACTCTTGTAGGACACTCTTGTGGGTCACTCTTACAGGACAATCTTGTGGGACACTCTTGTAGGAAACTCTTGTGGGATACTCTTGTAGGACACTCTTAAGGGACACTCTTGTGAGACACTCTTGTGGGACACTGTTGCGGGACACTCTTGTGGGACACTCTTGTGGGACACTCTTGTGGGACACTCTTGTGGGACACTCTTGTGGGACACTCTTGTAGGACACTCTTGTGGGACACTCTTGTGGGACACTCTTGTGGAACACTCTTGTAGGAAACTCTTGTGGGATACTCTTGCAGGACACTCTTGTGGGACACTCTTGTAGGACACTCTTGTGGGACACTCTTGTAGGGCACTCTTGTGGGACACTCTTACAGGAAACTCTTGTGGGACACTCTTGTAGGAAACTCTTGTGGGACACTCTTGTAGGACACTCTTGTGGGACACTCTTATAGGACACTCTTGTTGTGAGACACTCTTGTGGGACACGGTTGCGGGACACTCTTGTGGGACACTCTTGTGGGACACTCTTGTGGGACACTCATACGGGACACTCTTGCGGGACACTCTATCTGGGACGCTCTTGTAGGACACTCTGGTGGGTCACTCTTGTGGGTCACTCTTGTAGGAAGCTCTTGCGGGGCACTCTTTTGGGACACTCTTGATGCGCGACGCAAACGCACTTTCCACCAAGGCTGCGCAAATCTCAATGGCACTTCGACATCACGAACGTCGTGTCGCCACACGGTCTGCCCACACACTAGAAGCAGTCACGCGAGCATTTCGTACGAGACTTCCTCCAAAAGTCACGCTTAGAGGCTGCAAGACGAGCGTTTCGTACGAGACTTCCTCCAAAAGTCACAAGAAAAAGTCACACGTCAAGTCTCCAAAACGAGCGTTTCGTACGAGACTTCCTCAAA